GATTTTATTATGAAGTTTATATAAAATAGTAAACATGTAAAACAAGTTAAAATATATTCAGTCTTCTAGTCCTTTCTTTTCAGTTTTCTTGTCGTCTAAATCGACATTCATTTCGGGGATTTCGATTTTCTCAACATTTATGTCAGAATTAAGTGAAGACGAGAGGCTTTCCAATTTTCCAGATACTTCTTTGAGGGCATTAACTTTTCGTACTAAAACTTCTTCCTTTGAGTTTACCTTTGCGGCTGAAAACAACAAAAAGAGAATTGAATTAATTTAAATAATTTCTTCAAATAAGTCTTATGGGTATACTCTGTTTTTTTTTCTCATGTAAGATTTCGACAGACGATGACAGAAAAAAATGCAGATGACGTCCATACCAATCTATTTATTTCACTAAAAAAAGTTTCTAATATTTTTAAAGTTTACTATGGATGGGTTTATACAGGGTGGTCCGAATTGTATTCCGGAAACTTCGGCAGCATATTCTGTGGAAAAAAAATAAGTAAAAAAGTTCGTATAAATATACAGGGTGTCCCAGGCTGAGCGTGCATTAGAAGTTTCTAGAGAACCACAATATCTAGATCGAAGATTTTTTACATATCAGTGTTTTACAACGAGATCTATCGATTAAAAATATTTTCAATATGGCGGCACTTCCGGAAATACCGGAAATTGAGAGCAACTTTCTTATTTTAAATAGGTACCCCTATTTTTTATTACATATTTAAATTCTCTGTAAAATTTTATGAATTTTGATATACCTATATTGATATACCACTCTATACCTAACATTAACCGTTTTTGAGAAAAAATATATTTAAAATTTTCGACAAAAAACTATCTGTCAAACGAAAAAAACTATCTGTCAAAAAAATTTGTATAGCATTAAAGTCAAATTTGTGATTACCACAGCCACTGTGACATAAAGAGAAGACATGTGGCTATCTATTTCAAAAACTAAATTGTTCAAATGTCATATAATAATGGCGGTAGCTGTCATGGAGTTGAGCAATTAAAAAATTATCATAAATCATTTTTTTCAAATGGAAACCTACTTTTTTTATTTCACTATTGCAAAGGTTTACCAATTCCCCGTTACTTTTTGAGTATACATGTATATATACATGTACATACTATACCTAAAATAAATCGTTTTTAAGTTATTTAAGATTTAGTTTGAAAACATATATTTTTCTTGATTTTATCAAGCGTCCTTTGACATTAAGTGTCAAACAGTCAGACAATTAATTTATATCCATCTGTCAGAAAACGAATTATTTGAATTTCCGATATTATAAATACAGACTGCCTTAAAAGTTTAAAAAGTGTATTTATAAAAATATATCTCGTATTTTCGCTCTTTAGTGATATCTAATAGTTGATATTATTAATAATATACCGTATGATCGAAAAAAAAAACAGAGTTGGCTTGGAAATGATGATCGATAACATACTGCTTTTTGGACAAAATGTCATAATATAACATGGCCAGATCTATCGTTTTACATCACTTGACGTTTAAAGTCATAGGGTACTGATTAAAATCAAGAAAATATACGCTTTAAAAGTAAATCTTAAATAACTTAAAAATAATTTATTTTAGGTATAGGAACATGTATAGTCAAAAAATAACAAATTGAAAAGCCTTTTCACTAGTCAAATAAAAAAAGAGGGTTTCCATTTGAAAAAAATGATTTATGATAATTTTTTAATCGCTCAATTCCGTGACAGCTGCGGTCATTATTATATGACATTCGAACAATTTCATTTTTGAAATATATAGCCACATGTCTTCTTTTTATGTCACAGTGACTGTGGTAATCACTAAATTTGACGTTTAGGCTATACATATATTTTGGACAGGCAGTTTTTTTGTTCAAAAATTTTAAATATTTTTTTTTCCAAAAACGGTTAAAGTTAGATATAGAGTGTTTAATATCAAAATTCATAAAATTGAGAGAATTTAAATATGTAATAAAAAATGGGGGTACCCATTTAAAATAAAAAAGTTGCAGCTAGCTTCCTGTATTTCCAAAAGTGCCGCCATATTGAAAATATTTTTAATCGATAGATCTCGTTGTAAAACAATGATATGCAAAAAATCTCCGATCTAGATATTGTAGTTCTCTAGAAACATCTAATTCACGCTCAGCCTGGGACACCCTGTATGTCCTAAAATGCTTACTTTCGGAGATACAGGGTGTAAAAGTTTCATTTTTATTTCAATTTTTTCCAAATAATTTCTGAAGTAACATCAATATTTGGATGAAAATTGGTGTCTGGGAGTTTTTTGACATGAGAAATTTGGGATTTTGATGTCAATATGACTCCTACTAGTAGAGGGCGTCACCTACATATATTTTAACTGGTTTGAAGAGTAATAAGTTTTCGTCCGAAAAAGGTCTCTTGGTAAAAATCGCTACGAATAATGGTTTTCGAGATATTTGGAATGGAAATTATCAATACCTGTCATCATTGACATAAATTAAACATGTTGACTAAATAGTTATTAGACTGAAATCATAAATTTGAAATGTTTTTGTGCCAAAAGTTCAACAGAAACTGTTTTATCATCATTTTTTGCAGAAAAATTTATGATTAATTTCAAATAATAAAAATTTCCCAAATTTATTATTTTAAGTGAAATAACTATCTACTCAACGTATTTATTACTCGTCAATAATGCCATGTATTGTCTATTTCCATTTTAAATATCTTAAAAACGGTTGCTCGTAGCGATTTTTACAGAGATATATTTTTTACGTAAAAAGTCACAGACATGTATATTTTTTTGCTCGGTACTTTATACAGGTACGGTCAAAAAGTTATTACGCTTCAAAACAGTTAAAACACATGTAGGTGGCGCCCTCTATTAGTAGGAGTCATATTGACACCAAAATCAAATTTCTCATGTCAAAAAACTCCCAGACACCAATTTTCATCCACATGTTGACATTACTTCAGAAATTATTTAGAAAAAATCGAAATAAAAATGAAACTTCTACACCCTGTATCTCTGAAAGTAAGCATTTTAGGACATACATTTATACGAACTTTTTTACTTATTTTTATTTGCAGAATATGCTGCCGAAGTTTCCGGAATACAGTTCGGACCACCCTGTATATAAATCCGTCATGCGTCATCTCTTGTTGTTTTTAACCAGATTTATTGATTTATTTCAAAAATGACAGATCATATTTCAATATTATTGGTTTAACGGAACAATGAACGACAAACGGACGCCGCGCCGATGCGTACGAACTCGACTTAAAATTTTTGAGAGTTGTCAAACTCATGCCAAATTATAGGTTATAATTTTGTGTCAAATTATATCAAATAGAAATGATAACTATTTTGCATTTTGGACCGTGTTATTACGTGTGTTTCGTGTTTTTTTTTTAAATTAAGTGGAGGAAAACTCAAAGGGGAAATTACGTGTTGACCCAGACCATAGATAATATTCGGTGCCCAGAGACAGTTTGCCAGAGATTATGGCCAGACAGTTGTATTAGCCACAAATAAAGTTTATATACTATCTTGTATATGATACCAAAAACTGGAGTATTTGTAAAATAGCAACACACGATAGGTAAATAATAATCATATTGAATAATTATACTGATAAATGTAACAATAAATGCAGGAAGTTGCTTGAAACACCTCTTGAAAGCAGAAAGTATTTTTATATCTTTTTTGGTATGTGATGTTTTTTAAAATACACTCTTGCTTGTTTTGTATTAACACATACTGTATTTGTTTTTAATAAAATAACTCGATTAGATTTTTTCAATTTTATACATTATTTTTTCACAATATTTTGAAGCAATTACTTGTCACTCAAATTTTAAATATATTAATTTTCTGCAATGCGTTTCAATTGTACCAACTTATTTCTTTGTAAAATAAAATAAACTACTTTGAAAATAAAATGACAGACACATCTATCACTGTCAAGGATCTTGTCGTTGGACAGACTATATTTCGCCACTGTAAAAAAATCGGCTTGTCAGCAGTGATTTACTAATAGACAAATTTGCCTATCGGACAAAAAAATGCTTAACGTTTCGGGAAGTATATCTCTTCGCGTCGTCGGAAGCAAAAAACACAAAGAACAAATAAAAAAATATTTAAAATATCGAAATACGACTATTCAAAAACATTTTAGTTTTTTTTTCAACAGATGCGTATATAAAAACCGTTGACTTTCTGTCAAAATGACATTATATCAAGTTACACTTCAAAATTAACAATTACCTGATAACAATTACTTAATGAGGTGAAACTAAAAACGCTCAATCTTTCTGTATGATTATTTTTTAATTTATTTTTAATTTTTACTTGTGTTCATTAAAATCAAAGAAGGGATTGCCATACATTGCTAACCTTTACAGATACTTGAGCAATACAATTATTTTTATTAGACTGCATTAAAAAAGCCTCTAATTTTTCGTTTAGAGGCTATGGCTTTTTACATAATAATTTTAGCATAGTCAAAATCTACTCTGTGCCCGGTGTTCCATGAATGCTGACAAACCTTAGGTTTGTGAAAATCGCTCTTTCTTAAATTATATGTCTATAAATTAATTAAATAGTTTTTTTTTCTTTATTCTTTGTATTTTTTTGCTTCCGACGACGGAAAGAGATAAACTTTCCAAAACGTTAAGCATTTGTTTGTTCGTTTGTTTATCTGTAAACTTAACTGCTGTCTCAAAAGATCAGAATTGCAAAAATAAGTTCATGGGAAAAACTTTGCAATGACTTACAAGAAAATGTTTACGGTCAAGCATACAAGATAATAAGATCCCAGCTGAAAAAAATGCCGCCCAGAGTTCAAATGGACCCAGAAGAAAAAATCAAACAGTTTAAGGCTCTATTTGTATATGAGAGACAAACCTGGTCTCTACCAAATAATATACAATCTGTGATAAGAGAATGTGATATTTTTTGTGATTCAGATATAATAAATACTGCCAAAGATACAAAAATTAACAAATCTCCGGGCTGTGATAATTTGCCACCAAATGTGATAAAAACGCTAATATTGGACAATGTAGAATATTTTAGAACATTTTTCAATAACTTTCTTCAGAGAAATGAATTCCCTAAAGAATGGAAGAGATCCAAATTAACTCTAATAGAGAAACCCCGGAAGCACCTAAATGATCCACCAAAATATCGTCCGATTTGCCTCATTGATGTAATCGGGAAAGTCTATGAGAAACTCATCAATACGCGACTCTTGGAAGAAATTAGGAAGAAACGAAATGGTATGCATCCAAACCAGTATGGATTTGTAAAGGGGAAATCTACCACACATGCAATGAAGAAAATATCGGATATCGTGAAAAGAAAAGCCACTTGGCGTAATGCTTTGATTTTAGTCGACGTTAAAAATGCATTTAATTGCGCGTCATGGGAAATAATTATTAAAGGACTTAGAAGAATAAGAAGCTATCTTCATAATAGATTTATAGTTCTCAATAGAGAAGATGAAAGAGAGGTATTCGGTGGCGTCCCACAGGGCTCGGTGCTGAGGCCAACTCTGTGGAACATATTATAGATAACATATCTAGTCTATATATGTGTTCCACATATTATGTGGAACATATATATATAGACAGTGTCATGGAGCTTACTGTACCAGGTGGGACAGAGTTGATCTGTTACGCCGATGATCTTGCTGTGATAATAACAAAAAAAAAACTAAAAGAAACAAAAAAATAAACGACCTCGACCTAATGCAGACTGTGGATGATACACTAAAGATCATAGCCAGATGGATGCGTGAGCACAGACTCGAAATATCTGTAGAAAAAATAGAGGCGATTTTACTGAGCCGCAAGAGAAAAGTTGACCATATAAGGTTTAATTTTAAGGATATAATAATAAATCCAGTAAAACAAGTCAACTATCTTGGATTCCACATAGACCGTGCACTCACGATGGGCCTGCACATCAAGGAGGTGTGTCTGAAATCACAACGAACTGCTAAAGCGTTGTCCGCAATACTGCCAAACGTTCGGGGCCCAACACCAGCAAAGAGAAGAGTGTTAGCATATGCGTGCCAGAATATTATTATGTATGGAGCACCTGTGTGGAACGAAGCAACCAATATGCACGTAAATAAAAAAAAGACTTGAAGGTGCACAGAGAGTCATGGCTTTGAGGGTCTGCTCGGCGTATCGGACAACTTCAACTGAGGCAGCCTTGGTAATATCGGGTCTGGTGCCCCTGCATCTTCTCTCAAGAGAAAGAGAACGACTCTTTCTCAAGGGTGAAGTACAAACCAGGGCAAGCAGAGAGATGGAGAGAAACCGCACAGTGCAGCAGTGGCAGGCAGAATGGGAAGTATCACAAAAAGGAAGATGGACATATAAGCTCATCCCAAATATAAATATGTGGATTAAAAGAAAGCATGGAGAGGTAAACTTCTATCTTACTCAAATTTTGAGTGGTCACGGAAATTTTGGGAGTTACCTGTGTAAAATTGGAAAGAGGGAAGTCGCGGAATGCCGATACTGTGCTGAACCCAATGATACTCCAGAACACATAATGTTTGCTTGTCCAAGATGGGAACAGGAAAGATGTGAGGCACGCATGACGACTGGTGGCAACATCTCCGCAGATACCTTCTTAAAATCGGTAACAGAAAGAAGAGAAAACTTTGAAGCCATCTCAAACCTGGCCCAAAATATACTAGAGGCAAAATACAGCGAAGAGCAGGGGTAATGAAAAAAAAAAGGAACAGTCCGGCGTCTACTTGAAGAGATGCGTCCAGCGAGTCCAGGTAGACGTGGCAGGAGCGAGGGGGTGATGTTTAGTGGGTAGTGTCCTCCAGGCAGCTTAAGGAGAGATTTAGTCCCACACTCCGTACGTAAAGGTATTTTACACCTCCAAAAAAAAGGAAAAAAAACTTAACTGCTGACAAGTAGTTTCCGTTGGATTAACGCCAGCAGTGTTTACAAAAAATAACTATTTTATTTTGTATATTTTCTTGCAGTGACGAAATACCCATATAGGATTTTTTTGGAGAAGGGTCTAGATGTTTCACCAATAAATAATAATGTAAATAATAACGCTGAAAACTAGCTGTACAGTAAAATAGAAATAAAATTATTTAAGTTACAATTCTAGAATAAATAATGGGAATACATACTGGGTGATGGTACATGTAGGCGTTTCAGGTTCAAGTTCATCATCTCCATCTGAACTTCAATAATTTCTTTTGTAAGTTCGATGTTTACAGCCAGGTAACAGTTCGGTCTAACTTCTTTCAAAATATTACTTAATGTTTCTAAAGTATCATAGCGTTTTTTCTGAACTGCATACTGAGACTCGATATCTTCTTCGAACAGTGAGACAAATCTAAAATTGTTTTCAAGTAATAATCACATAAATTTCAGCAGCTTATTAAACGACATTGTCTTTATTTATTTTGCTTACACAACGTTTCAGTGAGAAGTATCACTGACCATTATCAAGTGTGAACGAACAAGTCTAAATCCTAAAACTACTCAGCTTATATACTAGAGCCGAGCATTCACCCATGAAGAAGTTAAGTGCAACCAAGCATGAGATTGTCCATTTAAAATGCCTGCATTGGAGCGTTTTATCATATTGTTGAAATTGCCATACTTGGATTGCCATACTAAAGATTTTATTACTGCTAGATATGAATACGGCCTTTTTAAATTTGTGCTTTTTTCAATGGACTTTGTGGACAACCCGGGCTTCCAACCATTTTATGTTGTGGTGCTTGGCTACACATGATCTGCAATGTCCGACTTCATTGTTTCACCTCTTTGCGTATGTTTTTTTTTTATGTTCGTCAAGTCGTACATGTAGTACGTAGTACGTTTTGTCTCTCCAATATACGACTCACCGCACTCGTAAGGTAATGATACCTGGTAAATGCACTCTATCTTGTTTTGATAGTTCCGGTTTTGTTTTTGTTAGAACACTTCTCACGACTCGTGTACTTGACAAATATTTGTAAATGGTATACACGGTGCGTCGAGCATTTATACAGAATTTTTATGTTATTTATTAAGACGCATTCTCACGGCTCGTGTACTTGACAAACATTTGTAATTGGTATACAAGGTACGTCAGGCATCTATACAGAATTTGTATTTATTATAGGAACTACGCCACACTCCCGCCGGACGCTGTAGGCCAATAAAAAATACTTGCCAAGTACACGAGTCGTGAGAACGCGCCATTATAGGAATTACGCCGCATTCTCGCTAGACCCTGTATACCAATAAAAAATACTTGCCAAGTACACGATACGAGTCGTGAGAATGCGCCTTTAAAGTAGTCCTAAACTTAAAAAGTTTTAATTTTATAGTGCTTGGCTATTCGCCTCATCTTTCCCTATGTTCATTTCATATATGTCGTCAAGAGAGAGAGAGAGAGAGCACTCCAGCTTTCTCAGTCGAACTATCCTGAAGCAACCAAAAGAGGTATAGTTAAAACATTATGTCATCAAGCAATTACTATATGCAGTGATCAAGAATCTCTGAATTCTGCACTAAGTAATATTAAAAACGATTTGCTTCAGAATGGTTATTCTGCAAAATCTCTCGACAATATTATATCCAATTGCAAATCTGGCTCATTGGTGCATCAAGCCTATAGCAAGTATATAGTATAGTATCAAGCCTATAAAAATGTCTATACCTATGTGGCGGATTCATCTCTCCAAAAAATCCTCTATGGGTATTTCGCCTCTGCAAGAAAATGAAAACTACTTGTCAGAAGTTAGGTTTACAGTTATACAAATTTGCCTAACGAACAAAAAAATGCTTAACGTTTCGGAAAGTTTATCTTTCCGTCGTCGGAAGCAAAAAAATACAAAGAATAAATTAAAAAACAACATACCTATTTAAAATATTTAAATTAAGAAAGGGATTAATTATTTAAAGATTTATCAGCATTTATTGGACACAGGGCACAGAATACATTTTACTTTTTTAATACAATCTAATAAAAATAAATGTATTGCTCATGCATCTGTAGATGTTAGTAATCAAAGACATTATAAATATAGACCGAACATCTCATTCATAAATCCTCGTTGGTAGTGTATCAAACATTCCAATGTGTCAAACAAGGACAGAAGAGACAGAGAAGTCTAAAATTTCCGACCCCGGCAACTTGGCGCATTTGGATTGTTCTAATGGCCAGTGGCGTATCGTTTTTTGGAACGAATTTAATTAGTAAAGAAAAAGTAAAGTAATTAGTAAAATGTTTACTCCATATTAATATACTACATTAACACTTTCTCGTCAGATGAGTTTTGTTATAAGGTCTAATATAATAATATAATTAATATCCCACATATACTTATGTTGAAACGTTAGTAGGTAGTTTTCGAAAATCGCTCCAACTTCGATTTTCAATTTAAACTTTCAGTTAATTCTATATAAACTTTCAGTTACTTTTGAATATTTACAGGGTGACTCAGGCTTCCGAAAGAGTTCTATATTAGGTTTGTGGTTGGTGACTTCTCTTTCAATTTTTTTTTCAGAATATGGAGGCAATGGTAAAGCACATTTTAGACATTTTTGTAAACATAGGTGGCCGGAACATATTTTCAAACTAAAGTTGTAGATTTGCCATTAAATTTCCATTCCAGAAATACCTAGGGTTGCCACCTGCCCTTTTTTGAAAAGGACAGTCCTTTTTTGGAATAACTCATCCTTTCGACTTTTTTTGACTTAAAAAGTCATTTTTATTTACGTATTTTCCCTGAGAAAATTACCTACAGCAAACAGAAATATTATTTTCGTCCAAATTTAATTAGAGATGTTATAAAACTTATAAATAAATTTTTCTTGTTTAGAATAGGCAACATCATTTAGAACTTCCCGTTTAATCTCAAATGACAATTTAGGTTTTAGTTTTACCTTTTTTGATCTTAAAAAGAACTTTTTAAAATTAGTAATTAATAACGATTTAGTTAGTTCGCAATTGATAGCTTCCTGTAAAGTACTATGTAATAGTTGTTTAATCTTGTATTATTAATAACTTCCTATACTTTAGGTATAATTAATTTATTTGAGCTTATTTTTCTACACATTTGACGCTGTCGTACCATATTGACAATTCGCAGATTCAAAAGTACGTTAAACAAAAGCAAAAACTACTGAAAAACACTGAAAAAGTTCACTTCAGGACTTATTTCCGACTTCAAACACACCCAATAAGCTAAACGTAGTACGCTATAACGGACCAAAGGCCGTCGCGAGGGTGGTGGGACGGACAGCTATTTCATTCTGGAAGACTAGCAGCGACGTTGTCAATAGTTCTAGACGTTCCAGCACATTAAACAGTAAACATGTCCTTTAATAGTAACGCATATATCCTCTGGTTAATAACATATTATTACGCATTCTTCTTTAAAAATAAACTATTAATTTAATTAAGAAATTGAGATTTATTGATATCCGGTAAAGGTTTTAAAGTCACCTTTTCTGCAAATCAAACCAAGTAGATAGGCGCAAATTTGAGATGTGGCAATGTCGCCTTCTCTATCTCAGTTGGTTTTTACAGTACGTAGTCAACCTCCGATTGTTTGATCGGGTTAAAATGCAAAATGTGATATCTGTTCTTCCTAAATCTATGTTACTAATGTATGGCAATCGCTTCGTTGATTTTAAAGAACATAACATAAATAAACATAACATACCTACGTAAAAATTTAAAAAAATCAGACAGAAAGTTTGGGGCTTTTTGGTTTTACCTTATTAAGTAATAATTGTCATCAGGTAGTAACTGTTAATTTTGAAGTTTAACTTGATATAATGTCATTTTAACAGAACGTCAACGGTTTTTTTGTAGACGTGTCTGTTTTTAAAAAACTAAAGTGTTCTCGAATAGTTGAATTTAAATATTTTAAATAGTTTTTTCTTTATTCTTTGTATTTTTTTGCTTTCGACGACGGAAAGAGATAAAGTTTCCGAAACGTTAAGCATTTTTTTGTTCGTTAGGCAAATTTGTGTAACTGTAAACCTAACTTCTGACAAGTAGTTTCCTTTTTCTTGCAGTGGCGAAATAATCAGAGGATTTTTTGGATAGAGCAAGCCTATAGTAGCGTTTTTAGTAGCATACCATAAAATTAGGAAAATGTTTTTACCTGTATAATTCACTCAAGTCCAAACATAGATTCACATACTGCAACGGAAAATCTCTCAATGTATAGTATAGTCTGGCTCTTTTCACCCATTTGTGAATGACAGAGAACAGAATTTTTGCCTGCTGCAAATTTTCTATTCTCGAAGTTGGTACAACTGGAATTTCGATTTGCATCCCTTGGAATGTGAGCAGCGGTTTCTCAGCATCTTTAGTTGGTTTGTTTTCTAAAAAAATATATAAGCGATGCCAATTAAACTTTTAGTTACGTAATCGAGGGCGCGATTTTTAAATTCATTGTTGGCCAACCATGGACATATTCGGCGCCGGGCTGACTAACTGGAATTTGAATTTCTCGCTGACGATTCAGGTGGTAGCTCTGCTGCAATGATGTCAAGTTGCCACATTTATTTATTTATTTCCTGACATTGTCATTGCAGTCGAACATTGTTCTTTTTAGAACCTCTTTTAGTGCGAAGTGTACAAAATAGCTTAATAGCCGTTGCAAAAAGCTCATCGCAACCTTATTAGAATATTTTGAACGGGAAAGCGGTAGTAATGGCCCTTTATGTCCCTTAAGTGCTGTTAAGGAGGTGGGTTTTGTTGATGTAAATAATAACTGTTTATATATTTATAATTTATTTTTGTTTCCTAAAATATTTTGATTAAAAGAAAATATGTAAAATTGGGCAACGCTGTACCGGTCAAGCTTAATCATGTGACTAAAAGTATCATAATTGGTATGATCCATATGTACTTACTTAGTTTGTGTAGTTTATGTATTGTTAAAAATTCATTCAGTATAACTATACTCTTTTTTATTACTCAGAGGTAAGATTTGGACTTCTAATATTTGTAGTACCGTAATGAATATTACCTAAAAGAATATCTGTACTGCTAGATTCAATGTCAGGATTGATTATTGCTGGACTTCTGCTATAATTAAACAGTTGTAACCCGTAAAATACCCATGACCTAGCCAGATCAGCTTGAACAGCATAGATCTCTGGATTTGGAGCTAGAGACACCTCCAAAGGATTCAAGACGGATTCGGCTGCTGCCAAATGATACCTAAAAATCGGAAATTACCAAAAAGGTCAGAATTAAGTGTTTTAATTCTACTATACCTAGTGTTCTCCCAATCCTTTTCGGTTATAAACATTCCAGCAAGTCTATAACACGATTCAGCCCATCTGATAACATCACTTTCACCAAAATCGAACTGTTTCTGCAAAATGTCGTGTTGCATTTTGATGTTTTTTGACGTTTCCCCTAACTTGGCATAAATCCACGACAGCATGTGCATGTTGTTCAACGTCAAGCGGCTCAGTTTCGACAAACATACTGAAGGGTTCTTTTTAGTGTTCAGAAACAAGTCGTCAGTGCTAAAAAATACGCGTTGATAAAAAAGGCCGATTAAAAAAATATGCGATAGAATACAGGGTGTCGCCTCTCATACGACACGGAGGCTTCAAGGAGAACGACAGTTTCTATTGAAATGAAATTTTGAGAGTATATATATGCTAATTTAGAGCATTTTCAGTGTTCTGTACCCAAAGGGTAAAAACGGGAACCCTATTACTAAGACTTCGCTGTCCGTCCGTCCGTCTGTCACAAAGGTCTATCTTATGAACCGTTATACTTAGCTAGATGGATGAAATTTTTACAGATAATGTATCTATGTTGCCGCTATAAGAACAAATACTAAAAACAGAATTAAATAAATGTTTATAAATAAAAAAGTACTTTCACTAAACATTATCTTTTTTAAGTAAGAATTTTACATAGAATCTTTCAAGTCGTCGGTGGCCGCGTGGTTAAAGCGTTAGGACTTTACGCTGCTATGATGTTGGAGTCGTAGTACTGTAGGTTGAATCCTAGTCAAGGCGAGTTTTTTTAATCGTTTTTTTTTCAAATTTTTACATATTTTTACATATATATTTTTACTTTTTACATATTTATTATTGATTAATACAATTTTTAGTAATGTGTTTCTTCATTTTTTTTTAAATTACTTATACGCGCATTCAAAATTTCAGCTAAATCGGAAAAACAGTTTATAATAATATAGTGTCGAATTTTGTATAGATAATGAATGGTACGGAACCCTTCGGTGCGCGAGTCCGACTCGCACTTGAACAATTTTTTAAAAATATAGGTGTTCCCAAAAAAAGTTACACATTAAAATTGCGTTTTTTGTAACCCTATAATTTATTGATTTTCGGATTCTAGGAGAAAAAAAAGGTGAGTTTCATTAGTATGTTTTACATACCGGGTGTTGCATCGTCGGACGGGACATAGGAAATCCCATGTAAATTTTAATGGGGTCAATTATTGGCTTCCCTAATTATTTTAGAGAATAATTCTATTTAGGTTTATTGAAGAGCACTAAAACCCACATTCAAAAGAATAACTTTAGATATTTTTGATTAGCTCGTTTACGAGTTATCGCCGATTTCTTTTTAAATATTTCTCCTTTCTTATGGCCCTGTATTTACTTATGAGCACCAGTCAAGGTAAAAGATAACTGTCAAATGAAGTTGTCATTTCAGAAATTTACCTATTTAGGGCTTTGTTATTATTGAAAACTCATTCCTACATCGGATAAATCTTAAAGATGTATTTATAAATACAAATTAATATGAATAAAAGTAAAATAAAGTAATCAATTACAAGGTTAATTATAGTATTATTACAATATTCAATAACTTATTAATTTAGGTACTATTAAATTGTTAGAACTTTAGGATTTAAGAAGGTTCAAATATTCCTTCATCGACTGCTAGACAATAACCCAGGCCATCATAACATTCTCTTCTTACATTCGCTAGTTGGTAAACTGAAATTCTATTGCATTCGGAAGAAATAGCATTTTTTAACTCGTCTAGATTTGGGTATTTTTTATCCTTGTATATCCTGTTTTTTAAATGGCCCCAGAGAAAGAAATCATTTGCCGAAATATCAGGAGACCTTGCTAGCCAATTTACTGTATGATTTAGGCCAATAGCGTTTCCGTTAAAACTATTGTCTAAATATTCCCGAACAGCCGGGGTACTATGTGCCGAGCAGCCATCCATTTGGTACCAAATTTCCTGATTTTCCCTAGCGGTATCATGTAAAGTAGATTAAATATGATTTTCGAGTAGTTCCAATAATATTCTGCATTTAAATTTCGCGTAAGAAATAATGGCCCGATAATACTGTGTCCGAATATCCCTGCCCAAACATTTACTTTCTGTGGATATTGCGTCCTTGTTTCGACAAACCTGTGTTGGTTTTCTTTGTTCCAATATCAATAATTTTGAACATTGGGTTCATTATTTAAGGTAAACGTGCATTCGTCAGTGAAACATATGTTTTTTAAAAATTCCCTATCCGTGTTTGCTCTTTCCATCATATCAAAACAAAACGCCTGCCGCCGTATTTCGTCCCCATCTCGTTGCTCTTGGTGCTTTTCATATTTGAAGGAATAGTATTTATGTCGTTTCAAAATTCGAAACGCTGTAGTGTGATCTATTCCTATTTCATCCTCAAGTTTCCTTGTGCTGATCTTTCCATTGTTCTCTTCCACGCACAATAAAACTTCCAAGTCGGTATCATTTCTTGCATCTTTTCTCTGTTTCTGCCTTGCTTCACATCGGCAGTTATTTATTAGGGTACCTTTGGTCTCAAATCTTTGGATATTCCTTGCGATTGTAGATTTTCCAGGTATCGGTCTAATCGGATACAGAGCAGCAAACATGTCCGAGACCTTTTGATAACTATTTCCTTGATAATACCATTTAATCATCAATACTTTTTCTTCGGTAGTGTAATTCATGACTAATATTTTCGATGTAGGTATGAGTTTTTAATAATAATAATAAAGCACTAAATAGATAAATTTCTGAAATGACAACTTCATTTGACAGTTATCTTTTATCTTGACTGGTGCTCATAAGTAAATACAGGGCCATAAGAAAGGAGAAATATTCAAAAAGAAATCGGCGATAACTCGTAAACGGGCTAATAAAAAATATCTAAAGTTATTTATTTATTATTCTTTTGAATGTGGGTTTTAGTGCTCTTCAATAAACCTAAATAGCATTATTCTCTAAAATAATTAGGGAAGCCAATAATTGACTCCATTAAAATTTACATGGGATTTCGTATGTCCCGCTCGACGATGCAACACTCTGTATATGTTGTATACATATTTAACATTTTCAAAAAATAGAGAATAACTTTTAATTTTCAATAAAAACTACCTAAACTGGAATTTTCCCGGTGTAGCCTTATAGGTATAGTTAAAATAACTATTGTACTTTAAATCGAATTAAAACTTGACCAAAAAAAAAGATACAGGGCGAGACAAAATTAATATTGAACATTGGTCACTTTTAAAAGAAAGTAACTCTTTTATTTTAAAGTAAATCTTATTATTTAAAAATAATAATCATATATAAATATAAACAAGCAAATAATTTTCCTGGGTGGATTGGAAATGGTGGAGCAGTATAATGACCAGCGAGTTTCCGACAAAATCTAAACATAAGCAACAACTTAAGCGAATCTAAATTTTAATTATTTTGTACTTACCTAAACACTTCAGGGCTACATTTATCTCCTTCTTCTATAGCTTTCAACAACAGTTCCTCAGCTTGTTCTAACTCCCCTAACCTGGATAATACATATGTCAAATGATTCACAATTCTCATATACAAAAATGCCACTTTGGGATCATTCCAAAAGTATTTGATCAACTCCAAAGCCTCTTCCAAGTTTTTCTTACTCGGAACAAGCAAGCTTTCCGACAAAAGGATTTTGGCCTTTTCGTAAATTATCGAAGCTTTCATTGACAGAATCTTCAAGTATTCTTCCGATTCTTTTGGCGTTTTGTCGAAAATTTCATCGATTTTGGACAGGATTATGGAAAATTGTTTATCAAGAGGGTTTTCAACTTCATCTCCACCGACAGTTTGTTGGCCTGAGCCTAACTTGTAGGACAACGAGTGCTTTTTGAGTTCATTGAAGCAGGCTTGAAGCTCAATGGAGAATACTGATTCGGAGGTAGTAGTCATTCTTGGAGATTTTAGGGAGAAATTTTGGTGGAGCTTTGCTTATGTGTCACTGTAATTTTTGACAATTATTTTAAAACCACTGAAAAGGTAAGTGATAACCTTTAATTATTATTATTATAATAACAACACCATTGTAAACATATTCCTGAATAGGTGAAATATGATTGACGAGATGGATTATTTCTGATCTCTGTGAATATAGGAGCATCTTCTTATGTTGTCGTATTCTAAATTCTATATGGCCGAAAAAAAACAGTGTCATCGATGGCTATGAAATAAAATTATCATTTTATTTGTGAAATTATATGGGGAATCGTCATTTCCAAGCTAACTGTACACCGTTTTGTTCGATCAGACGGTATAAGTACTGTTCAGGGATCTAAACAAACCAGTTTTTTTTTCTTTAATTCGAGAATATAAAAATGGTGTATAGAGGATAGTATGTAGTATACTCCAGCGGCGTAGCGTGGCGTCAATACAAGGGGATGTAATAAGTAACTGTAATTAACATTTTAATTTTAATTTTGAAGTTACAGAAATAAAATATACCAAAAATATAACAGGTTAAAAAAATAATCAAACCAATTTAAAAAATTAACTAAAGGGTATAGACGGATTAATATGGGAAATCTGCCCCCGCGGCTTTTTTAACTCGCACTCAGGGGATCGATTTGGTGTCGAATCAAAATAATTCATCTAAATTTTTAGCTCTTTAACTCAAACGGTTTTCGAGATTTTCAGAAAAACTGTTTTTTTAATTATTTTATTTTTATAGTAAAATTCAAAATTAATTAATGATGATTTTTTTTCTAGTTCTTAGAAGTCTAATACATGAAAAAATAATATGATCATAATTCTTAAACGAAAAGCCGATTTTTAGCGGAGGAAGGAAAATTAAAATCTTCATTTTTTAACCTTTTTGAAATATGTCACTCACTAAAAATCGTCAGAAAATGTCCTTTATACTTCCTTACACTCAGGATTTATTTAGAATTTTTTGAAGTAGTGGATCAATATGAAAAAAATTAACATTCATTTTTTTTCTAAAATCTTCTCGGACTAATTTTTTGTAATAATTTTTATGTTTATTTCTGGCAAGGATGCATTTTTAATGAAAAAATATTTTCTAACGCACTTTTTTAAACTAAACAAAAATATAAGTTAGTTAAAACAGAAGATTTTAGAAAAAAAAACGAGCTTAATTTTTTTCATATTGTTCCACCACTTCAAAAAATTCTAAAAAATTCCTGAGTGTATAAGAGTATAAAAGACATTTTCTGACGATTTTTAGTGAGTGGCATATTTCACAAAGGTTAAAAAAATGAAGATTTTAATTTTCTTTCCTCCGCTAAAAATCGGCTTTTCGTTTAGAATCATGATCATATTATTTTTTCATGTCTTAGACTTCTAAGAATTAGAAAAAAATCATCATTAATTAATTTTGAATTTTACTATAATAAAAATTAAATTGAAAAACAGGTTTTTTGAAAATCTCGAAAACCGTTTGAGTAGCTAAAAATTTAGATGAATTATTTTGATTCGACACAAAATCGATCCCCTGAGCGCGAGTCAAAAAAGCCGCGGGGCAGATTTCCCATATTAATCCGTCTATACCCTTTTCTGAGAATATTTTAATTTATTATAGGAGAGCTCAGTGACTTTTTTTAAATAAAAATGTAATACAATATTTTGCTCTGCATGGTAACATACTCTTTTCTAGTCTCTTTAATCATTGCTTAAAATAAAACAATTATATATTCGATTCCAGACAATTTAATAACATTTACAAATGGAAATATCTTACACTAAGGTTTCAACAAAAGAACGTTTAACATAGAAAATCTAACATAGTTCTTGGCAATTTATGTAAGAGCTATGTTCCAGCCTTTAGGGACTTTTCAACAGGTCAGGATTCTTTTTGGTCATTGGTTTCTTTCATGTTCTGTATTTTTCTGTTAAAAAGTCGATCGATTTGATTTTAGGAAATAGGAAAGGGAATAGCATTATAGAGGGAGACCACCGATGTTATATATATCTAGTAATGGGAAAATTGTTTTTTGGGATATTTAAGTTATTACTCTACAGTTTCGTCATTCAATGGCTCCTCTAAATCATTGCTGCCTTTGAACATAGGTGTCTTTGGTATGTTGTTGGCTAAAACAATAGAAAAGTATTAAAAATGGTACCTAATGAATCTAATGATAGATTTTTTATACAGGGTCCGGCAATAGTGCGTCAGGTATCCTAGCTATCTCCTAGAATAATAAATTTGGGATTTTGTGTGCAAGTGCAAACCTGAAGTATGTACTAAGATGTATTATAGGACAATATTTTAATTTCTTCAGGGTAGCTCAAAAAAGAGTGAGTTGATCGGGATGATTTTTTAATTAGAACACCATGTATATTATTGCATTTTTGGCTTCCTTTTAGATATTAATATATAAATAAAAAAAATATATTTTTTAGCCTATCTTAAAAAAATATTCAAAATACAAGAACTGTCCTGAAATCAAAACTATGTTAGTTATTCACTTTAGATAGTCTTTATTTACTTTGCTTTAAATATCGTAATCTTAAATCATACAGGTGTTCAAAATTCTACGCCATCCTGTATGATTTAGGATTACCATATTTATAGCAAGGTAGGGACAGACCATCTAAAGTAAACACTTCGAATAGTTTTGACACAGCTTAAGTAAAAACCAGCTCGGACAGTGTAGCGTGCCGCTTTGATCTTTTTACGCTCGGATTTGCGATTCGAAAGAGGGAGAACACTAGAGCGGCGAGCTCTCTCGCCACAACCAATAGCCGCGTAAGCGGCAGTCAGCCCAGAGATGTATTAAAAAAAATTTACACGTGACGTAAAAAATTATTCGACTGGTGCTAGAACATAATTTAGATACACAATTGTTGACTTTAAATAAATATGCATTCTCAAAGAAAAACATTTAAAAAACAAATTAATTAATTTATTTCTAGAAATAACAGCAAAATAAAATAGGTACATTGATTACTTATAGTTATTTACGAATGTTTCCAAATTAGGAGCTTTCGGTTTTTGTTTGCTACATTTAAGTTCTTATTAATATTCTTTAAGGTATTAATAAATTAACTTTTTGCGTATAATTTTAACAAAAAATACATTATAGGAAAATTTTGACAAGGATGGTTGAATTTAATTGAAATAATTTAAAGAATTTATATAATATATTTTCATTTAAGGAAAGTTCTTCAAAATTGTTCTGATAAAATTTTATAAAAAACTATTTAAAAACAAGTTTTTATTTAAATACACTAAAAAGAATAAAATAAACTTTTTCTTTAAAACTTTTATTATGAACTTATAACGTCATTACACAATTTTAATATTAATATATAAAAGCTTGCCGCGAGATTTGAGTGTACAGGTGCACTCATAAAAATCTGGTAGGACAACTTTATCTTGTAATTCCTGGTCTAGTGGTCTATCATAACACAAACTTTGAAAATGAGACAGGGTAGACACAGGTTTTAGTTAATTTACCTGTTTATCGATGTAGAGAAATCTCGCGACAAGCTTTTATATAATATTAAAATTGTGTAATGGCGTTATAAGTTCATAATAAAAGTTTTAAAGAAAAAGTTTATTTTATTCTTTTTAGTGTATTTAAGCTTGTTTTTAAAAAAAGTTTTTTTTGTAAAATTTATTTTCTACTTTTTAGTAGCTGGTTTCTCAGTGCCACACATTTAAACGCAATTTTTTTCTTAAATAACTTTCTATGGGCATCCTAATAATATGTATATCGATTTTCATTAAAAAAGGAGAACTTAAAAAAAACGACAGCTGTCAAATTTGACAGTTCAAATGTGAGAGATCCAATATATCGATTTTTATCAAAATCGGAGAAATTTGAAATTTTTTTGACAGCGCAAAATTTTTTTCTTTCATTTTTCCCATGGCCGTCCTATATATCAATTTTTATCAAAATCGGACAACTTTGAAATTTTTTTGACAGCTTGAAGAAGAAATTTGATAGCTCAAAATTTTTTTCTTTCATTTTAGCCCATGGCCATCCTATATATCAATTTTTATGAAAATCGGTTGACTTTGAAATTTTGACATGTCATTAAACTGTCATTTTTTCAAGATGGTCGTCCATATATTTTTTTCATATGTATATACACACAATATACCTATATATATAATTTTAGCCCGATCCATTCATAAATACCGTATGATCGAATAAAAACGGCGTCAGCGATGGCTATGAACTGAAGATCGCTGTCATTTTATATGTAAAATTATATGGGAAATGTCATGGATCGTCATTTCCAAGCCAACTGGATGCCGTTTTTATTCGATCATACGGTAGAATTTTAAAAAATCAAAAACCTCAAAAATGCCGCTATTTTGACAGCTGTCTAAAATTCGGGTCATGCATTTGGCAAAAATGTATTGTCATCGGGTCTGAACCTACATGCCAAATTTCAATCTCCTACAATAAAAGGAAGTGGTTCTAATTTAGCTTACAAGATTTGCCCCACAAAAACCTACATACATACATAGATAGTTGTTGATACAAAGCTTATAAAAATAGCCTCCAATGAGCAATGATAAATAAACCAAATGATAAATAAAAAAATGGTCACTTGGCATTAGCAAGCCTCCAAATAAGTGGTCTTTATCGTTTTGAAAAGCTCTAAAGTGTGAATACTTTTGAATTGAACATTAATTTTGAATTGAAAATTAAACAGACTATATTTTGAATTATTTGTGTAACCAGCAGCCGCACATCCCGGAAAACCTTTTCCCGTTCCAACAATAAAAATAAAATTGAAATAAAAGCACAAATACCTATGGGTAAATATAAGAAAAAATCGAATTAAAATCTTCCGTAATACGGCTCTACACGTCACCGGTGGAGGTTATGCATCGACTGAATCCGAATGAGGCGTTTTAAATTCGAGCGTGGGAAAAATTGGCGAGTGTCCAAGCTATATTATTCTGTAAGCTGTGGTTTTGATATCAGGATACAGGGCAGTTCTTGTATTTTAATTTTTTTTTTAAGAAAAGCTGAAAAATATATATTTTTTATTTATTTATTAATATCTATGAAATTATCGAATGTTTACTCATATCTTAGGATTATGTAAAAAGTGATCTGAAATAATTCCAAAAATGCAATACTATACAGGGTGTTACATTTAAAAAAAATCATCGTGATCCACTCACACTTTTTTGAACTATCCTATAGAAGTTAAAAATATTTTCCTGAAATACATCCTAGTACTCACTTTAGGTTTCCACTTAAACAAAGTACCCAAGTTTTTTATTTTAGGAACTACAGATGCCCAACGCACTATTGCCGGACCTGTATAAATACAACTTTATATTATATACAGTGTGTCAAGAAATTGACTAAAATCGTTCCAATTTATCGATATTATACAGGGTGATTCACGGCCATGGTATGTTGGACTTTACGGAGTGATTTTTTAATTTTAAGAATCAAATTCCTCATTTTCTCAATTCTCTCAACACCCAGAAATTATTTGAAAAAAAAAGAAATAAAAATGTTAGACACCAAGCATGTTAGGACATAAATTTATAAGAATACAAATCGGACAACCCTGTATAAATATTATAGTGGCTTGCTTTTTTTTATGCATTTAGTCTGAAGAGTTATATACTTCGCTTAACATAACTTTCATTCTAGCTATTAGAACTTAGTCGACCAAAATTCATCTCCACTTTGTATTTTTTAAAACTCTTTTATTTCTTACATTCTTTAGTGGTGAAGTGTGAAAATGTCTTTAGTGGTGAAGAAGAAAATTAAAAAGTTATAAACACTAGTGATCGATACAAAAACGTTTTAGTTTATATAAGACCTTCTAATTACTTTTTGTATCTTTCAATTACTTTTTTGATGACGTAGTTTATTATACATAAATATTATACCGGGTGGGTGCATAGTTGTGGGAAACATAGGAAATCGCATGTAACTTTTGAACTGGCCAGATATTGGATCCCCTGAATTTTACAGAGTAACAAGTCTACTCTAAAAGTTTCATTTGAATTGCTAAAAGCACTTGGAAGAAAATTAGAATAAATCGAAAAAAAAATGAAAACTTCTGCAACCCCTGTACAAAACAATGCAGAATCGGACTTGGGTTGATATGAAACATTAATTTTATTTGTGCGTGAGGAATCTCCTCGCGCAAGATGGCATATGTTTTTTGTAACACCATATATATGTTACGGTTAAAGTCCAATATACGGTTAATATCGACATTACCCGGTTAATCTTGAGAATAACACACAACAAAATAACGAAAAACCTAACCAAACCCAAACATTAACCTGTTAATGTCGAACTTAACCGGACATCGGACTTTAACCGTAACATAAATATACATATTAACTTTATTTTCTTTAGATTGAGTATTTAAAAGCAATTAACGGAATGGTTTAAGTCGTATCTGAGCAACAAAAGTCAACTTGTGAGGGTGGATACCACGTTGTCTTCTAGCAAGCCAATAGAATATGGAGTATCACAAGGCTCAGTACTAGGCCCTATTTTGTTTCTTCTTTTTATTAACGACATAGCTAACATAAACATCAGTGGTAAAATATGTCTTTTTGCGGACGACACTAGCGTCATTTGGAGTAACAAGGACGTCAGGGAACTTCATAGGATTATATCAAATGACTTAATCACCATAAATCTTGGTGAGATTCGAACCTCCTGAGTCTCAACATTTCTAAAACTAAAGTTTTTTCGTATAAAAACTCGCTGCAGCCTTTTGTACTTAACAATACCACCATTGACGCCGTAAAATCTGTAAAATTATTAGGGCTTGTTGTAGACAATTCTCTGAAATGGGACATGCATATCGACGCTTTGTCGAAAAAATTAAGCTCTGCCTGTTTTGCATTAAGATCTGTTTCTAAGGGGCTTAACTTGTCAGTGGCTAGAACTGTTTATTATGCACTTTTTGAGTCGCACCTCAGATATGCTCTTCCATTCTGGGGTACGTGTTGTGCGACTCAATTTGACCGCATTTTCAAGCTCCAGAAGAGAGCTGTTCGATATTCACTGAGACTAAACAGCAGAACTCATTGCCAGGACTTTTTTAAAAAATTAAAAATATTAACTCTTCCTTCCTTATTTATA